TTATGTTATCCCCCAAGTTAGATGTACCATTACCACTATTCTGATTTAGCATTATACCATCCCACTGGTTTGAAGTAGATGGACCAAAAGGTGGTTCTATCCCTTGATTTGGACTTAGGACTGGGAAATTATGTCCTACAATTGTCTTAGCTTGAAAGTGACTTGCAATATGCACAACTGGCTGACAAATTTGGCCTACTAACTTATTCATTATTTCATTTAATGTATTCAGTTGTTTAGCCATGTTGTCATAATGTACATTCCCATTCTGGGTAAATCTTTCCATATTATGAACATTTCGTAGATTTACCTGTTCAACGACATCCTGTGTGAGTTCTCCAAGCAATGCATGCATGGTTCGAGGACTCAACTCTGTCATTGGTTCGTAACGACTGTGACTGCTCTGACTCTGTCCCTCTGTTCGTGGAGAGCTTTGCTGCTCCTCATATCACTCGATCACAGACTGGACTCCTCCCTGACTTGCTGCTTCCTTATCAGATTTGTGAGGCATATTGTTTCACTTTTTGTATCCTCAACACCAAACACCAAAGTCCCACTGGGCGTACCAAATTGTTTCGCGCAAGTCGCTAACAATTAAAAAAGGGATCAGATGATTGTGTAAGGAATAGACCTCTTGAGACAAAATCCCAAAAAGTGGTGTTTTATTGATGATGATTTACAATTGGAATAAACAGAATATCTCCAAGGGGCGCAAACACACGAGTACTAAAAGAAGTGTTTAAATTTAAGCTAAAAAATTAAAATTACATATTCTCTTTTTGAGAGTGTTTGATTCCGGCCCTTCTCTCTATGTCTTCTCTTTCTTTTTATATTCCCTTGATGATTTTCTCGTGACAAACCGCTTGAAAACTGTTTGATTGCTTTATAACTACCCATTTTCTTTATGGTGGCTAATTTGTTGTGGAACTACTGTCTCTAACTACTGCCATTACTCTTTGTAGTTCAACTGCCTTCAACTGGGCTCCTTGAATCATGGAATGTGATAAGATTATTCAATAACTGTTTTTCTGGATAACCATAATATTTTATATTTGCTAAGATCCTGGGCGATTCTAAGATTTGGGCGAGAACGGGGTCATCGCTCTGGACGACCGTAAGGCACTCCATTCGCTCAGATTCTGGGCGTCTTGCAAGCTTCGGCGATAATGTTACTGTGTTCATGGGCTTCCACTACATTCATCAATTATCCTATTTGGACCTTTATCCTGAACTCCCCAATTGGACTTCACTTTTTGGGCTATTTGATTTGGGCTGCACGTTTAGTGTGTCAACAACTCCTTATGGAGTTTGAGAGAGTTTGGGTAGTCCAAAGTGAAGGTGAAGTTCTTGGGTCGAGCCGATGTGAACAGTTCGTTTGATTATTTTATGAGTCCGAAATCAAGATTTATTGAGAAATTTTCGCTATAGGTCCAAATTTAAGAATTCAATTGGTTGCAAATATTTTTAAGAAAGATTCTAATAATATGATTTTGAAGCGATAGATAGTATTCTTAAAATACAGCACGCCACAAACCATGGTAATGACCCATACATAGATGATTATTACCACCAAGCTCGTCTTGCAAAGAAATCAACAGAAATGAGGTCAAAATGTCATTTCTGCCCACCCCACCTGAATGATCAGTCATCCCCGCAATAGTGCAGGATCTCAGCCACATCTCCATGTTGATTCTTTTGGAAGAGTTTGTTTTTTGTCTATACGTAGACCCTGCCCTCTTCTTGAGGTTGACCCCCTTCCCTCTGCTTGTGGTGATGGCGGTGCTGAACCAAAATTATCTGAAAAACTTTTGGAGAAGGAACCCATGCTTGAGGCTAGGATAACAATTGAGGATGGGCTTTGTCTTCTTCTGGATGTAGATGACATTGACCGTCTTCTACAATTTAGTCAACCCTAAGATGGTGGTAGTCAGTTTAGGCAGAAGCGGCAGATTTTATTAGAAGGGTTAGCAGCCTCTCTTCAGCTTGTTTACCCACTTGGTAAAAGTGGCAACTCTGCTGGGCTGGCTGCCAAGGATGACATTGTGTTTCTACACAGTCTTTCATTCCAAAGGTCAGAAACTGATTTCAAGGTTCCTGCAGCTCATCTTACCTGGGAGTGAGCTTGTCCGAATAGTCTGCATGGCTATCTTTCGTCATTTAAGATTTTTGTTTGGGGCCTCCTTTCTGATCCAAGTGCAGCTGAGGGTGTTAATAATCTTGCCAAGACAGTCTCTGCGTGTGTCACCGGTATGGATCTTATTTCTCTTAATGCTTGTCTTGCTGCAGTAGTTTTTTCCTCAGAACAGCCTCCTCTCCGTCCACTTGTGAGCCCTGCTGGAGATGGTGCTTCTGTTGTCTTGAAATCTGTTATAGAACGAGCGACTCACTTATTTAAGTCATCCTATAGCTGCCTGCAATTTTAGCATGCCCAATCCTGGCCTTCGGCAGGCTTCCTTTGATGCTTTCTTTGTTCTGCTGACAAAGTATTGCGTAAGCAAATATGACAGCATAGTGCAATCAATATTTACTCAAGGCCAGCCAGACACAGAGGTAATTGGTTCAGAGGCTGTGAGAGCTGTCGGCAAGGAAATGCCAGTGGGACTTCTTCGTGCTAGTCTTCCACACACCAATGAGCGTCAGAGGAAGTTATTGAATTTTGATCAGTGATCAATGTCTGTTACTAGATGTAATGCTCTTGGTGGAAGCAGTGGGCAAATAAATCCTGAATCAGTGCGAGGTTAGCTGAGACTGTGAGGAAGGTTCTGTAGAAACTTTGATTTTGTAAATGCTTTGATCAAAGACCATTTAGATCGGATGCTTCGTGTTTGGTGATAAGCACAGGGTATGTGTATACCATTAAGGCTTCATTTTATTGCCTATCCCCCCCCCCCCCCACCCCCCTCTCTCTTTTCATCTCCCACTCTGTGTGGGGAATTGGTTAGGTTCTGCCTATTTTAATGAACATTCTAGCTTTGTATAACTGTGTTATGTAAGCTTTATTTTTAATGCTCTTGAATAAGCTCTGGACAGAACTGTTATTGGCAAGTGTTATATATGTATATGTTGCTAACATATGGTGGATCCCACATTTTACCATTGGCTTTCTCCTGTTCCCTCCAAGGGGAACGGGAAAGCAATATTGTCTTCTGTTTAAAGAAACATACAAGTTGAGGAGTCTATTTTGCAAGTGTTAGTTGATAACCTGTGATATTTTGTCATAATAGGCACATTGTTACAGGCTATTTAGATGGCTTAATATTACTACCTTCTTCTCAGCATCTCTTTCTGTCTGTGTGCATAATAGACAGTTCCTTGCCTTTCATCGGCGGCGAACAGTTTCTGTTTCGAGGTGCCTGTCATTGGATCATTGAAAACTTGTAGGCTTGCTTCTGGAAATTTTTTAAAAATTGTTAGTTTTCTGGTATGTATGAACTCATATCATATAACAATTAACACAAATTGATCCTATGGATTGCACTGTGAATTGTGTTGTGAACTTAGCACCAAACTGACCATACATTGACATAACAAAGGATATCTTCTTCAGCAGCTACTTGTGAAATTTAATAATTGCAGCAAGTATAAGAAGTTGACACATAAGCTGCACGTTTCCACGTTATCATGGCTACAAATTAATTAATAGATACTAAAGAAAGTAATTTATCTAATTAATATTCAAATTGTTTCAGAAAATCATTTATTTTTTATTCAATGAATCTACATTTAATATTTCTAAATCTCCTCAACATGTTTGTTTGATACAATAATTAAGCAGTACCATACAAAATTAAGTAAAAGGATAAAATTTTGTTAATTGACTTGTTGAATGTTTTTCAATTTAATCTACTGAAATCATCAATGTTATGTTATATTACTTTTTTTTTCATTTTTTTTTAATGGCCGTGGGTGTCCGGGCTAATTTACGCGCACTTCAACTAATTCCACTAGACCCTGAAGTTTACAGTCAAATACTCACATTAGTGCCCCTGAGGGGACTCGAACGAGTGACTATTGGGGAGTAAACTCAAGACCTGACTATAAGCTACCCGTTAGGGTTTTATGTTATATTACCGTGCGATTAATTAACAATTCCATCTCGCACAAACATTTTTAGTGTTATATTTTTTGTTAAATGTAGACTCTATTTCAATTTGCTTTTCGAAAATTTAGCAATAAAGCTATAGTACGGAAAAAATTTAACAGAACTTGTACCAATGTTGACGTGACAAAATATAAGTGGACTATTTTATTTTTTTTCTTTTTCCCCATCTTCCAATAATGTTGCTCTATGTGTTTGTCTATAAAAATTTTTTTGTCAAAAAATTATATACTTGTAGCATGATTCATTTGGTTAATGTTTTCAAAATTTTAATTGAGTCAACTACTTCATTATTAACATATTAAATTATGTATTTGTAACGACTAAAGTTATGTACATTTTAAACTGAAAAAGTCGTGCATAGCATAATGACATTGAAAATGACCAATTAACTTATTCCTTGCATGTGAGGACATTACATTGTTTTACTCTTTATATAATACAATAATGTAAAATAATTATATTTGTTTTCAATATTTGGAAACATTTACTACACATTTTTTTTTTTATCTTGAATGTTTTTTATTTTTTATATATAATTATTTTCAAATAAAAAAAAAGAGAAATCTACCATTCAAACTTCGTGGATCCCTCCTTCCTTCCCCCTTGACTTCTTCCAACAAAAACGCATACATTCTCTCTCTCTGTCTCTTTTTTTTTTCTTTTTTTTTTTTTTTTTTTTTACAGGGTGTCCTATTCTAAACTAATCCTTGGGTCTGTGATCCGGCCCCTCTTCACACAGTCCGGTTAATCGCAGGATGTGCCTCCAACTGGTCAGGGTCCGAGCGCTCCCCACCTGATCTGACAAAGTGCCAAGCAAGCCAATCTAAGTTGCACCTTGCCTTCCAAGAATAATCCTTGCCTTCCAAGTTCCCACTTGCCTTCCAAGAATAAATCCTTGCCTTCCAAATATTCCCTTGCCTTCCAAGAATAAATTCTTGCCTTCCAAGAGCCCCATGTTTCGAACTCACGACCTCTGCTCTGCCAGATTTGACAGCGTCCGTCCTTTGTCAGTGAAGAAGTGCCCTGGGGCCTCTCTCTCTCTCTCTCTCTCTCTCTCTCAGACACAGAGGATAGAGAAATACGTATTCATAATATACATATAGAGATAAAAATGGATGGTTTATTGTGTATGTGATGGCAATATTTGTGTGTCATCTCCTTGTTTTAAGGCTTTGTTTGATTGTAGAAGAACATCGTCCACTTATCTTTCACTACAATGTTCAAAAGATTATCTAAATCTTCTCCTCCTACTCGTTGATCCCTTTACACATTTTTCAATTTCAGATTTAATTATTATTAGTTATTATATATACATATAAACTGTCTTCAATAACTCTTCTTAATCTCCATATATCTCTCCAGTTCAGGTATTTATTATAGCCCTTTTCACGCTTTTACTTTCCAGAATTTATGCTTCTATCAGTTTTTTCTTTTATGAAGATTTGATTTTGTCTGAACAAAAATTTTTGTTAAGTAGATACGAAAATTGGGTTTTTTCATTTTTTTTTTTTCTCTTATATTCTTTTCTTTGATCTTTTGAATGTTTTATGTAAGAATAAGTGAGAAAAATCTCGATTTCTCCAACTGAAAAAAAAAACAAAAAAGGAAAAAAAGAAAAAAAGGTCTGTGTGTAATATTTCTGAAGAATTAGAATTTATCATCTGGTTCTGTAACAACATGGGAGATTTAAGGTTGTTTCCTTGTTGGATCATTTTGCTTATTAATGTTTTTTCCCCCTATGAATTGATCCAGAGTGGATCATAGATATTTAAGGTGATCGTTGTTAATTCTGCCTTCGATTGTCGTTTAATTTCTTGACAAGAGACAATTCAGTGTGAAATATTAAGAAGAAACCTTTATCTTTTGCTACTTAATCAATTTCAAGGTATATACTCTAATCTTAGTACAGGTTCCATTGCATCTTTCCCATTTTAGAATTTTGCACGTGTTTTCGGCCTTGAGGTTTATTACAAGCATTGTACTTATATGGCATGTTTAGTACAAAGGATTGCATAAGAAGTTAAGATTTTATTTGTTACACTGTTTAATTTTAACCAGTACTGCATATGAAACATACACATAGTAAACGACAGCAAAAATTTTCATCATCATATTGAATTTCTTACAAATTAGATGTCTGGTTCTGTACTCGGAAGATCTTTAGATTCTTGGTACCAAGCAATTTGGTCTACATTGTAAGGTTCCTAGTCTCAACACAAGAAAGGCATATAGAAATTTTTTTTCTCGAGTTGAGAGATTCATGATTCTTCATTTTATTCGTCAAAACAGAATACCAGCAATTCCACTACAGTATTACTTTATCAAGAAACGTTAAGAGCATCAAACTAAAGAGAACAAAAAACTTTGATTTCTCATTTTTTTTAGTTAATAAAGGACTAATTCTTCATTTACAGGGATGGATTTTATGGAGATGAAGCGAAGGAGCAACTTCACTAAGAAAATATTCTTAGCTGCTGGCATTACTGCTCTTTTTATTTTTCTTTTCACACGAGCACCCGATACTAATACCTCTACCAAGGTATGCCTCAAATTCCAACTGTCAACGAAAGCCTGCTTTAATTATTTCTGTATTATGAATGTTGTAGAAAATTTACGGTTTGTTTTATAAGAAAGTTTTGGATAGTATTAAAGATGAAAATGATTCTACAATCTGTTGTATAGATTTATTTTAAGTTCTTGACAATAAATCATAGGATTCTACAATTGTCTTACTTCATTAGATAACGATAAGTTGTTCCAGATCATAAACTTCTCTCAGTCTGATGAATTTTAACTGTGCATATTCAGTTCTCTCAACATGAGCCTGGTGTCACACACGTGTTAGTAACTGGAGGTGCAGGCTATATAGGTTCTCATGCTGTACTTCGGCTTCTCAAGGATTCATATCGTGTAACCATTGTGGTATGTCCATCTAAAAATATACTCTGGAATTTCATTTCATCTATTCTGAATGAATGTAAAAATATCCATATTCTTGAAAACGGGTTTTTATTGATCATATTTTGGCAGGACAACCTTTCCAGAGGGAACATAGGAGCTGTTAAAATCCTCCAAGAACTTTATCCCGAGCCTGGGAGACTTCAATTTATATATGCTGATCTAGGAGATGCAGCATCAGTATCCTACTACAATTTCTTTCATGTCTACAAATTAATTATCTCTCTCAAAAAAAAATCGAGTTTTTTTTTTTTTTTTTGTGTCAATATCTTCTTTAACTTTTATATCAGGTAAATAAAATTTTTAGAGAGAACGCCTTTGATGCCGTTATGCATTTTGCTGCTGTTGCTTATGTTGGTGAAAGTACAGCTGAACCTCTAAGGTATTTTGTACTTTTCGATTTCCAGCCCTTAATCAGTTGCAAGTTAAGAGTAATAATGCCTGTTATAATCACTTAGAATGAAGCTACTTGTTTCATATACCAGTATCGTGTGATCTGAATGCAGGTATTATCATAATATTACTTCAAATACCTTGTTAATGGTGAAGGCGATGGCGACACATGGTGTAAAGACATTGATCTATTCGAGCACTTGTGCAACATATGGAGAACCAGAAAAGATGCCGATCACAGAAGTTACTCCTCAAGTTAGCACTCAATATGCTTCTTTCTTGCCTATCATATTCGTAATTTTCAATTAGTTCAAGTTGGTTAGAAAAGATTGGCCGACCAACTGTTTAAAACTTCAGGCCCCAATCAATCCATACGGAAAAGCCAAGAAAATGGCTGAAGATATTATATTGGACTTCTCTAAGACTTCTGACATGGCTGTCATGATCTTAAGGTTTGTACATCCTTTGCATCCTTAAAAGCGCAGACTAATAGTTAAATAGAATTGGTGATTTCTTAAGTACCCAATTTTCTTAAAACACGAAACATAGTAAGTTACAGAGTAATGACCTCAATGTGGGCATATGGTGATCAGGTACTTCAATGTTATTGGCTCCGACCCTGAGGGAAGACTGGGAGAAGCTCCACGACCAGAACTGCGTGAACAAGGACGTATTTCAGGTGCTTGTTTTGATGCAGCCAGAGGAATAATTTCAGGATTAAAGGTACGTATTTTTCTTGTTATGGTTGTGCAACATAACTAGGCGAATAACTTGTGCACAAACAAAGTGCTTAGAGTGCATTTTTGAGTGCAAGAAATTTTGTTCTGAAACATAGAATAGGGTTATCTAACGAGATTCGTTAGCCTTCTCAACTTCAAATATCGAGTTTAAGACACACGATGAAATCCTCATTTCACCTTGAACCCTTGTCTACTTTTGATTCAAGAAGATATCAAAATTTGTGATTGCAGATAAGAGGGACGGATTATAGCACACCAGATGGAACTTGTGTGAGAGACTATATTGATGTCACTGATTTGATTGATGCACATGTTAAAGCATTAGCCCATGCAAAACCAGGCAAAGTTGGTATTTACAATGTTGGCACTGGGAAAGGTAGTTCAGTAAAACAATTTGTGGAAGCATGTAAGAAGGCTACTGGTGTGAACATAAAGGTGGATTACCTAAGTCGTCGTCCAGGAGATTATGCTGAAGTATACAGCGATCCTTCGAAGATCAATAACGAACTAAATTGGTTGGCAAAGTACACAAATCTTGAAGAAAGCTTAGCAATTGCTTGGAGATGGCAAAAGACACACAGAAATGGTTACAACAATTGAGAGGCTTTATTATGGAGTTAGTTCCATTTTGTTATAGTTTTAGTAGATTAGTTTCTATGCTATACATACAGGTCGCTCCGTTATGTTGTCCAACACATCAATGGTGGTCGAGCTGATATCGTGAATTTATATTTAAGACGTTGATTAGTCGTGCAATCTTAGTAAGAGATTAGAGATGCAATAAAAGTAAGACAACGACGGTGGAGATATTCTCACTCTCATCCTTAATCTTTTTGATAAGAAATCGAACATTGCAGCAGAATTACTGACATTTAAGTCATTCTTCTCTATCTGATATAAATTAGACTCAAAAGTATACTTTAACATATTTTTCTTCTTTAATACTGTTCATTTTAGAATTCATGTCACCAAAGTTTTAACCTTTGCTTGGCAAACAAATTTATAAATGATTTATAATTACAATAAAAGTGAAATATGTTGTAAATGGAAAGTCCATTAAAGTTTATTGGTGAATGATATTTGTACCCCTGTAGCCCTAGAAATTATTACCATTGTATCCCTGATTCTTACCTATAAATATAGGGCTTTAATTTTTAATAATACACACAAAAGTTTATTAAGCTTTCTCTATTCTCTTTGAGTTTTCTTTATTCTCTTTTCCTCTCATTTTATAACACGTTATCAGCACGAAACTCTTAGAGGATAGTAATTTTTTTCATAATCATCTATCAGGTATATCAAAATTAATTTGATAATACGTGAATTTTACATATACATATGTTGAATCTGCAATACGTGATCTCATCTTTTTCGATCATTATGTTTTCTTTGTACCTCTCTTTGAATTAATTAATGTTTTTTTCCTTTACATCAATCCACGTGTATTTTTATGGAGATATATTTATGTTAAATCAATTGATATGCATTAATTCATGTTTCTATACCCTCCTTATATTTAGATTAGCCATTTACGTTCTACACATACTTATAATTTTTTTTGGTTTAATTGGTCAATGCTCTTTGTAAGCAAGTTTCAATTCAAGATCTCTATTTTGGCTGATTTTATATATATGTATATAATATACAATTAACAAATAACTGTACCCAACTCATCTTTTCTCTCAAATCCAATAGTTTCTGCAAATTTCATGCCTTAATTGGTTAATACTAATTCAATTCTTTTAATTGCACATAATTAGAATTTTGTGCCATAATATGTGAATAGGTTTCTACATGTCACCAATTTTTTTTTTGTGTTTCACTGGACTCACGTTATTAATTCAAAATAATATTTTACATGTGTTTGTATATTAATTAATGGTGAGCAATTGGATGTATTATCATTTTTTTTATGTTTAGTTATGAAACATTACATTAAATTTATTTTTAATTGTTGTTGCTCCTGAAGTAGCACAACATTATAATTAATATTCCAGAAGAATATTAATTATAGATCTATTCGTTGTTGCTCTAGAAGTAGCACAACATTATAAGAATATTATTTGCTCTTGAATAGCATAAATTATAACTCTCAATATTCCAGAAGAATATTGACATATTGCACTTGAAGAAATAATAGCAAAATATAATGTGCTCCAGAAGTAGCATATGTTTCGAAGAACATATTATTTCAAATTAGTGTTTATCCCTAGAGAAAAACACGTAACTTAAAGTCATGTTGATATTGACTATTTGATTAACATGTGATAATTAATCATATTCTTCGAAACTAATTGTATTTTTTTATTATGTAGTTAAACAAATGGCAAACATTACGAAACTTGAGTTTGCTGCACTTGATATATCTGGTAAAAATTATCTGTCATGGATACTGGATGCTGATATCCATCTCGTCTCAAAGGGTTTGGGAGAGACAATAAAAGAAGGAAATGATGAATCCTTGCAGGATCATGCAAAAGCACTCATTTTCCTCCGTCACCATCTTCACGATGGATTAAAAATTGAATATCTCACTGAGAAAGATTCACAAGTTCTTTGAAAAAAGTTAACTGAAAAATTTGATCATCAGAGGACTATAGTCCTCCCCAAAGCCCGTTATGAGTGGATGTACCTTCATTTACAAGACTTTAAAACGGTTAGTGAGTACAATTCTGAATTGTTCAGAATATGTTCAAAGTTAACTTTGTGTGGAGAAAAAATCACCGATGAAGATATGTTGGAAAAAACTTTCTCCACCTTTCATACCTTAAATGTACTCCTGCAACAGCAATATCGTGAGCGTGGCTTCAAAAAGTACTCAGAACTTATATCTTGTCTACTAGTTGCTGAACAAAATAATGAATTGTTAATGAAAAATCATGGATTACGTCTAACTGGTTCTGTACCATTGCCTGACGCAAATGGTGCTACATTGTCTGAAGCTATCAAGACAAGGACGTGGACGCGGACGTAGACGTGGACGCGGACACAGACGTGTATGTGGAATAAATTATGGAAGAAATAATCAACAAAGTTATCAATAACAAGGTAATAAATTCAAAAGGTACAAAGCAAACGAGAGTGGCAAATCTAAAAAGGAGTATGAAGAAAGTTGCTTCAAATGTGGAATGAAAGGGCATTGGACACGTACGTGTCGTACCTCAAAACATCTTGTGAATCTCTACCAGAGATCAACCGATGGAAAAGAAAAATTGAAGACTAATTTTGCTGATTATGATGGTTCAATTGATGTGACTCATTTGGATGTCTCCAATTTCTTTACTGATCCAAATGTAAATATTGACCATTTGGTTGGGGATGGTGTGATAGAAGATATAGATTAATTTATTAGTATTTCTTTCGTTTTAAAAATTCAGTCTGAAATATGTTTTTACTTTTTCGCACAAAAAAAAAATAAAACTCTATTAAGCACCGTTTATTTCATGATATTAAGTAATGTTTACTTTTTTAAATCTAAATTCAAGTTTTTTTTAAAAAATTTTGTTTATTTTGTTATATTTATAGATTCATGATGGATAGTCAAGACAGCTGCTTAATTGATAGTGCAACTACATATACTATTCTTCAAGACAAAAAATACTTTTTGGACTTAATAGTAGTTGAAAATAATGTAAACACGATATCGGGTGCGTCTAATATCGTTGAAGGCTCCGGAAGAGCTTGTATTATTTTACCAAATAATACAAAATTATATATTGACGATGCACTTTATTCTAGCAAATCCAGAAGAAATTTGCTTAGTTTTAAAGATATTCGCTACAATGAATATCACATTGAGACGATGCAAGAAAATAATATTGAATATCTTTATATCACTTCTTTTGTATCTGGCAAGAAGCAGATAAAAGAAAATTTTCATGCACTCCCGTCTGGCATGTATTTTACATTTATAAAAATGGTCGAATCAAATAATGTTACAAATCAGAAGTTCGTTGATTCAAAAAGTTTTATACTTTGGCACGATCGACTTGGACATCCAGGAGCCATAATGATGCGTCGAATAATAAACAACTCATATGGACATCCTTTAAAGAATCAGAAGATTCTTTTATCTAATAATTATCCATGTGTAGCTTGTTCGCAAGGCAAGTTAGTCATTAGACCTTCAACTACAAATGTCAATATTAAATCTTCAACTTTCTTGAAAAGAATACATGGAGATATATGTAGGCCAATACACCCACAATGTGGACCATTTCGTTACTTTATAGTATTAATTGATTATTCTACAAGATGGTTACATGTTTACCTACTTTCAACTAGGAATGTAGCATTTGCTAGACTACTTGCTCAAATTATAAAATTGCGAGCACAATTCCCGATTACTCAATCAAGACTATTTGTTTTGACAATGCTAGTGAATTTAGATCACAAGCATTTGATAATTATTGTATGTCAATTGGGATTGAAATTGAACATTCAGTTGCACATGTTCATACACAAAATGGTTTAGCGGAATCGTTTATTAAACGTCTACAATTTATTGCTAGACCATTACTTATAAAAACAAAACTCCCAACTTCTGTTTGGGGTCATGCCATATTACACGCTGCATCATTGGTTCGTATAAGACCAACTGGCTATCATCAATATTCACTTTTGCAACTTGCATTTGGTCATGAATCTGATATTTTTCACATACGAGTTTTTGGTTGTGCTGTCTAAGTTCCTATTTCACCCCCCACAACATACTAAAATGGGTCCCCAACGAAGACTTGAGATTTATGTGGGTTTTGATTCACCATCTATTATTATATATCTTGAACCTTTAACGGGTGACTTATTTACTGCACGTTTTGCAGATTGTCATTTTGATGAAATGACTTTTCTAATTTTGGGAGGAGAAAAATTACATCCTGAAAAACAAGATAGAATTTCTTGGAATAAGACAACTCATCTCACTTTGATCCCCGCAACAATCAATGTGAACAAGAGGTTGAAAAAATCATTCATTTGCAAAGAATTGCAATTCAACTACCTGATGTATTTGTTGACACGAGAAAGGTGACAAAGTCATGTATTCCAGCAGAAAATATTCCAGCAAAAATTAATGTCCCTACAGGAAAATCTACTGTGGCAAATGAATCTCAAATATGCCAGAAGCGTGGTCGACCAATTGGTTCAAAAGACTCTATTCCTCGAAAAAGAAGAGTACGGGAGAAAAATCAACCAAAAATTTCAGAAGAAATCACATTAGAAAAGATTGATCAATCAAATATTGAATGTACGGTTCCTGAAGAACCAGAGGTGTCCGAAAATAATGAGATCTTAATAAATTATATGATATCTCATAAATTATGGGAATGGAATAATATTGTTATAGACAATATTTTCGCCTTTAACATGACTCTTGATATTATGCAAAATGAGAATCCTGAACCACAGTCTGTTAATGACTGTCGAAATAGAAATGATTGACCAAAATGGAAAGAAGCCATACAGGCAGAATTGAATTCTTTGGAGAAACGAAAAGTGTTTGGACTAGTAGTTCGAACACCTGAAAATGTAATCCCTGTTGAATACAAATGAGTTTTTGTACGAAAGAGAAATGAGAATAATGAAATTACAAGATACAAAGCCCAACTAGTGGCTCAAGGTTTCTCCCAAAGACTGGGAATTGATTATGATGAAACATATTCTCCCGTAATGGATACCATCACTTTTAGGTTCTTAATTAGTTTGACCGTGTCACAAGAGCTCGATATGCGCTTTATGGATGTAGTAACTGCCTACCTATATGATTCACTTAACAGTGACATATATATGAAAGTCCCAAAAGGATTTAAGGTGCCAAGAATAAATAATACATGTCCGAGAACTATGTTCTCAATTAAATTACAAAAATCATTATATGGATTGAAACAATCCGAAAGCATGTAGTATAATTGCCTTAGC